CGCTTCCCCCAGAAGACATCAAGCAATTCCCAAGTTTTCACTCAACATTTCTCCTTGTCCATTCCATTGTGGCTAAATACATTACCGGATTGTTAAGCCTCTTCGCTCTTGCGCCTCGTCTCTTCATTATGTTCCTTTCCCTATATTACATGTCAATGTAAACAACTGACGCCGATTATAACTACTATATCCCCTTCACCAAATAGGAGTGCTATGTGTCTCTTGATTGATTCAATTTGAGACACGTTCTCTACGGTCAATATTTTGTGGTCAGTACTACACATTTGGAAATGGGAAGATAAGCAACATAACACATAACAAGCCACACAACTATCACCAATGAATGTGGTCGGATAAATATGATCCTTACCGTTAATCATGTGTCTCAAATTCAAGAATTACTAATAAAAATATTTCTCGTAGAGAACGTGTCACGATCCAAAACTACGTGATCGGCACACAACCCGATTCGAGCGAATCAAACCATGTCATGCACCCAAATCATATGCATGAAAACCAATTTAACTACGGAAGCTCCTTGAAAATCATATACATTTTCAAGTTAAATGATAAAATATTTTCCAATTCAAAATCACACATGACGCCTTTCATGATAATAACAATGAGACTAAGAAAAATAAATATACTTTCATGTATGTCGTGTACAACCCCGTTACTACAACCTTTCACAGCTATCTATGAAGCCTCTATACCAAAGAATAGAACCAACGGTTAGAGTAATTCCAATAAAATATAATAAGAAAGAAAATGATAGCTACCACGAAATAAAAGTGATACTTCACAATACCTCGGAAAGAGAGTCAACCTAGCCTGACCGCATGCCACGTATCATACATCATCCTGAACATGTAAAGTAAGCAGGGCCCTGAATGGGGCCCCTAAGGGTTGAGTACACCACAACGATACTCAATAAGTCTCATATAGTCTCTCTAACTTAAGTTCTTGGGACAAACTTTATAAAATAAATGCACCAATATTTGATATAAAACGATAAAATTTTTTATCAATTCACGACCCTTGTTATTTTAAATAACAACCAAGTGAAATATAATCCACAATATAAACTTTTAAAGCATTTACATCAATCCAAGATTTTAGATAAAACCATACAAAATCATTCAATTTGCTTTTAAGTCATTGAAATCACTTTCGGCTTCTTAGGTCTAAACATAAGAAAATCATCCTTACCTTCACTGGGAATACTATACCATCACCGACATAAGGAGGTCAACTAGGTTATGTACCTAGCGGCAAGTATTATATACCCTACTTGCTCAGGTCGTCTCATCATAGTGACGTACGAATAGACTCAGCCATGCTAATAATAGCACAAAATAGTACCCTCTCGAGGGAAAACACTATGTGGTAGTCTATACCACAAAGTGGCCATCTACGCCTACACCGACACGTATAGTTTCATGACAACGAACACGATATATCCGAAGTCAATCTCGGTGAACACAAGTAACTCCCAAAACATTTGATACTTCAAAAATAGATTCATAGCATAGTAGCCTCAAAGGATCTATTTTCATCAAATCATAGCATTTATAGAAAATCTAAATCATTTTAACAAAATTTAAATAAATAACATTTTATATGCAAAAGTCTTTAGCAATTTAACATCAATATTTAAAAGATACCACATGTGCTATTCTGTTCGTCAATATTTAAAAGAAATACTTTTCACGAAAAATTATCTTTAGCACTCAAATATGTATACTCTTGTAAATACGTAAGTTTTGATAAAAACTTATAACATTTACCTTGAGTGTCATTTTGCCAACAAGGTTTAAAATAAAATTTTATAAAACGGTATGACACTACATATGCAATATAATATTCTAGTACGTGGAGACATCCGTACTTATTTGTCCCCACAAGCACGAAAGCACATTTACAAACAACTTAAGTATTAACTTGAAATATGCTTTTAGAGAAAATCCCTCAAGAAGAGTAAGTTTTAATCAACTTACCTCGCTTTCGCTTTATTAACTCCCACAAGATTTCAATTCTCTTCCATCATTCAAATATTGATTAAAATGCCCAAACATCACCAACAAGTCGATATCTACAATTAGATATCCTAATTACATCAAAATATGACCTAAAATATTGATCAATATCCATATATGGCTCATAAGTTGGCTACAAGCCTCCAACAACCCAAATCGCCAAATAGATTTACAAGTTAGACCATTCAACTTCATTCTTATATTATAATAGCCATTTGAAATCACTAATGATACTACATCAATTGTCCATTGCCACCAAGTTACTATTCATTATATTCCATAATCTACACTTGTAAAATATACAATTCGGGTGATTACTTAGTTGATCAGTTCCATCCTTTTTCTAACAAATAACTCCATAGGTTCATTGTGTTCATCAATTTCATCGCCAAGATTAATACTCATCTTCTCTCTTATTTTCTTAAAAGTACTATTCATGCCATGAACTAGAGTTTTATAATCCAATCTTTCAACCATTAAAACTTATAACAAATGCTTCAAATACTTCTAACTACTCATAATAAATGAGTTTGAAGCATTGGAATTACCTCTAGTATATCAATCTTGAAAAATCACAACTTTGGTGATTTTAGTGTTCTTGAGGATTTGATGATGAAATCTAGCATTTGGATGCAAGAATGATGTTAGAACTCATGTATATTGAGTAAGAATAAACCCAAAACATCATTAACAACTTACCTTAGTTGATTGGACTTGATTTGAGCTCAAAATCGCCCCTTCACCTCAAGAACCCTAACCCCCAAATACTCAAAATACTCTCCTCCCCCGACCTTGTATTTATCGGCCCAGATTTCTAGGTTTCGGACGCGGCCCTGGATGCTTCGCATCCCCACTTCACTCTTCGTTGAAGCTCGAATGCGGACCTGGACGCTATGGCAGCACTTCACTGCCAGCCTTTCTTTCGGACGCGGCCCCGGATGCTTCGCATATGTAGACTACTCTGCCAGCCTTTGGTAATTTAGTCATAACTTCTTGTGGGAATGTCCAAATGACAAACGGTTTGAAGCGTTAGAATCTAGATTCGAAGATCTTTCATTTGATAGGTTTTCCATCACATAACTCCATATATATATATATATATATATATATATGTGTGTGTGTGTGTGTGTGTGTAAGTTCAAATCCTAGCTCCCTTTCTGCCTATGAGGAGGCATTAGTTCGTTGTCCGTGTTGGCGAAAAGCTCTAAAAAGCTCTCTAGGTCTATTGGGGCTATAACTGCAAAGGTCAATTTAAGTGTGGGNCACGTCACTTATAATATGTCTTGTACACTTATTATCATATCCAATTGATATCCATCATATTAATAGTCCTCGTCTGCACATAAAATAATATAATCAGAGCACATCAGCTTTTTTCTTAATAGCGCTTAAGTACTTTACAATTTTTCGGGGTGCTACAGAACGTTTTTCCTTTTAATTGGTTCTACATGACCTAAATTTTCATTAGTCGAGCTAGTGAATACTCGATGGATCGTTAAACTAAAAAAAAAGTTAAAGAACTTGTAGGCCAATTATTTTGCTGAGCCTTAATTTATGAAATAATTTTGAGCTAATCCGCTTTGCTTTACCATAGCATTGTTTAGAGTTTACAGTGCTGAGTTATAATGGAAGCTCTACTTTGAACGTGCTATAATGCTAAAAGAAAAGGCATGTCTGAACGAATATATGGATAAAAGTTTTATGAACATAGAAATAACATGGATCGGTCGTATGTATTTTGTTTGTTTGGACAAAATTGTTAGTTGAGTTATTTTAAAGTGACAAATGAAAGTTGACTTTTGTGAAATTAGTATTTAATTGAATGTCTACCGTTGAAATTATCTTCATAATTTTGTAGAAGAATGGTTTCTTCATGGGAGATTGATTTGACACGTGAATATATTTGGAAGCTCTCGTCTTTGATCATGTGTATTTTTTTTTGTATTGATCTTTTATCTTTTGGTAAATCTTATTATTGTTGAGCAATTCCAAGTTATAAAAAACAAAAAATAAAAAGAACAAAAAGTTTTGGCCGAAACGAATTAATTCTAGGTTTGGTGTTAGTTAACTACGTAATCTTCGCTACTACTTATAACTTGAAACATTGTACGTCACCTGAGAATATTAATGCAATTTTATCATTCTTGCGAAGAAATTAAGAAAAATGAAAAGGACAAGGGTATATTCATGGAATTACCTTCCAGAAAGTATATACAGTTGAAAAACAAGCGACGTCTGTGGTCCTTATTGGTCCTCTCGCATGTTTATCACACTAACGTTAAAAAGTCACGTTTATCCTTGTTGTGTTATTAAATGAAAAAATTGAACGGTGAAAAGGAAGTCAGCATAAGGGCACAAAAGGGAAAGAGAAACCATAAGGAAATTAAAGAAAAATAGTCTTGTTTTCTAGCTACTAACATCGTTTACAACTCATATATTTTATTTGGAAATTAGCAGAAGCACGTGGTTTGTACTTTGTAGGGCAGCTTCTTATAAGGAAAAGAAACAAACAAAAACTAAAAATAATTCCTGCACTATGATTGGCACTCCAATAACATAAATAGTTATACAATTCAACACAATCCCACTCACTTTGGCATGATACTTAGGATGATATTTAAGAGAGACATTCACATGATAGAATTTCAAAGAACAAAACTGCTAGTTTTAATTTACATATAGTCGATGAATTTTAAGTAATTATAATCCAGAAAAGAAATTATTTATTTAGATCTAGATCAGCTTGTCTCTTATCATTTTGTAAGAAATAATACTAAAAATCCTATTATCCTACGTCTTTAATTTGTCTAACCAAATTAAATTTATTTGTCTTCTCTGTCCGATCACTTGTATGCCCGAAAATATGGACTATCCAAATCAAGTTAAATATGCTGACATTTCTTCGAATTTATCTCTAGCATATTATGTGGTTCATCCACCATTTTACGTACTATTCTCATCTCCATCCCTAGGTATCATATTCCGCACCACAAAATACCTCATCATCTTAATTTTCTATAAAAGAGACACAACATCATTTCATTTTAGAAAAATATTCCTCTGAGAGTGAACGCATACCCCTTGCTATAGAAAATATACCTCTCTATCTCTCATCTCATGTAAGCACAAACCAAACGAATTGAACAAAGTGGGGAACCGTCGTATAACTCCTCGGGAATCATGTCATTCGCCTGTAACGTATTGTTACCGGTGGCATAAATACTCGGAGTAAGCTCCTGACTTGCCCCTATCTCTAAAGGGAGAGACATCCTAATACACTTTAAAAAATGAACCAAATTGACCAAAAGCCTCATGCTATATTGTTTCCTTACCCTCTCCAAGGTCATGTAATTCCCTTTGTTAATCTAGCCATCAAACTTGCATCCAATGGCTTCACCATCACTTTTGTAAACACTCAATCAGTTCACTACCAAATATCCAAAGCCCGGCTAGAAAATGGTGTCGAGGGCGACGATCTTTTCTCGAGTGCACGAAAATTAGGCCTGGATATCCGTGATGTGACAATTTACGATGGTTTCCCTATAGATTTTGATAGATCACTTAACCATGATAAATATTTTGAAGCTATACTAAATGACTTTGGTTCCCATGTTGATGAGCTTGTTGAAAACTTAGTCCTCTCAAATCCACCACCAAATATACTAGTTGCTGATACTTTTTATATATGGCCATCTACCATAGCTAAGAAGTATAATTTGGTGAATGTCTCGTATTGGACGGAACCAGCTCTTGTTTTAAGTGTGTATTATCACTTAGACCTGCTAAGACAAAATGGCCACTACGATTGTATTGGTAAGTATCTTCACTTAATTAATGGCCATTTTCTGGAAAGCTATTATTACCCTAATATAGATATTAAACTTGATGATTTTAAAGATTTCAGGAAGACTCTTGCGAAACCATTTTTTAACAATTTTATTTTTGATAAAATGAAATGTTTAATTTGTTTACTTTACCTTGAAATTTGCCGTTTTGAGTTGTACTGAAGAAGCTGTTATCTTTCATTCCCTTCGATGTTGGTAACGCAACCAGAATTTTTATTAAGGAGTCTCAAAATTTAAAGAAGTAAATACACGAAGAAGTTAAGAGAATTTAACACATAATATATATGCATAATAAAATACTTATCTAAGCGGTGTAATTTTTCGGTGAATAAGGAGTGTCCATTGACACCCGTTGGAGCTACGTGGCCCAGCCACTGAGTGCTAGTGTGTACAAAACTGATTTTTACGATTGACCTAACATCAAGTTTAGATCAATTTTTAGTTGTGTCGATATTAGGAGTGAAATTTGCAGATCATGGTAATACTCCTTAATGATTAGTAAATGCAACACTCGGAATTATTTTAATATCCATTGTAGCCTAAACTGCTTGAACGTGGAGATACTAGCTCGCTAATACATACATACACACACACACACATATATATATATATATATATATATATATATATATTAACATGCTTCTGTGTTCAACTTTTGGGTGTTATCTTTTTTAGCTTAATTTTATACTATACTGCTGGTGTAATAATTTTTTTTACACTACTAAGTCACCTAAAAGATAACTACATGTTTATAGATATGGTGTATTAATCTAGAAAATAAGGCTTGTTACCTGTTAAAATAGGTTAAAATACACTAACGTGTAAAATTCTTCTTTACATTGTCAGCATATATAAGTTTAATCTTCTTCCTTTTTTTTTTTGGAGAAAACAAAGTGGACAATGTAGAGTCTAAATTATAAGTTGTTTGTCTGATGTTAAAAGGTTTATCGTACCTGAAAATATTGAATTGTAAAGAAGAAAGGGAGAGATTTTCCTTAATGCAGTAGCGTGGATATATATTTTAACTAGGATTGCCTATAATATTAATCATTTTCAAAACCTTATAGTTATTCTATATATTTGATGGTTTGCCAGACAAACGCCAGGACGTCATAGATTACATACCAGGAGTGAAGGCAATAAAGCCAACAGATTTAGCTTCTTATCTTCAGTCTAATGATACAAAAATGGTGGCGAACCGAATAATCCACAGAGCAATATTCACAGATGTGAAAAAAGCAGAATATATCATTTGTAACACCGTGCAACAACTCGAATCCGAAACCATTGCAGCATTACAAGAGAAGCAGCCTGTTTATGCAATTGGACCACTTTTCTCCCCTGGCTTCACCAAGAGCTCAGTGAAAACGAGTCTGTGGTCCGAGTCCGATTGCACCAATTGGCTCGACGCCAAGCCTTGTGGCTCAGTCATATATGTATCATTCGGAAGCTATGCTCACACTACTAAACAAAATATAATGGAAATTGCACGTGGCCTAGTGGTCAGTAAAGTAAATTTCCTTTGGGTGCTTCGTCCTGATATTGTTAGTTCGGAAGAAACTGATTATTTACCAATTGGTTACGAAGAATTTATTAAGGATCGAGGGTTAATTGTGCCGTGGTGTTGTCAAACTGCGGTAATTTCTCATCCAGCAGTCGGAGGATTCTTGACTCATTGCGGTTGGAATTCGATCTTGGAAAGTATATGGTGTTCTGTTCCGTTTATTTGTTTTCCTTTGCTGACTGATCAATTTACTAATCGGAAAATAGTGGTTGATGATTGGAAGATCGGGATTAATCTTTGTGATAAGGAATCAATTACGAGGGACGAAGTGTCAGAGAAAGTTAAACTTTTGTTGAGAGGAAAAGTAGCAGAAGAAATGAAGCAACAAATCAAGAAAGTCAGGAAAACATTAGAGGATGCAGTGGCGATAAATGGATCATCTCAAGTGAATTTTACAAAGTTTATCGATGATTTGAAGTCAAAAATTCCAAAGAAAAATGTGGTTGCCTTAGAATCTGAGGCTCAGCAATTAAACCGTTAATGCAAAATGATCATCCTGTAGGCCCTTAAAAATAAGAGTTTTGATAAGGATAACATATTAAGTTCATTACTTTTATGTATAGGGAAAAAGGATTATAGTTTGCACCCTATATGCTTCCATTATAGAATTTTCGTTAGAAGGTAATAATATCACTGTCTTTCAGCACCCTCTATATTCAGGCAGACGTAGAAAAAAGATTGCCAAAACCAAACCAAATGTATCGTTCGAAGAATATATACATCGGTGATTTGTGTACTTCAATACCACACAAGAGGGGTGATTTGTGTGGCGTTCAATTTTTCGCATGCACAGATTATAAAAGGACATAGTTCTTCTACGAGTTCCTTACACTACAGTTGCAGAATGATAAATGCAGAAAGTAAAGAACACAAGTATTTTTACGTGAAAAATACCTCGGGAGAACCCTTTTGTTTATATTTCTCTATGGCTGCACTTGCCTTTGGTTATTTTATTTTTTCGTAATATGTAAATTTCTGTGTTCTCCGTGATGTATTATTTGACTTAATATTAAGTGTTTTGTATTTCTTGTAGTATTATGTTGGCTTTGGCTTTTTCGTACGAGACTCTGAGGATTTGTATTTCTGGTTTGTACTTGTTCTTAATGATTGAGTTGTTTTTAATAAAAGAAATTACTATTAGGTTTTAATTTATTAAGTTTTATATCCAAATCAGTAGCCTATCTGATGCTTTATTTTAATTGAAATGTCATTTTCTTCACTCAAACTATTTCAAAAATAAACTCATTTGTTTGTTGAATTCTTACTTGGTTTATAAATTGTAACCTTACTTTATTGAAAATAAATTGATCGTGCAGATTTTATGTATTGATATATTTGGCACGAGAGTTGTCCATGCGGTTGTGATAGAGATATGGGCACGAGGTGCCGTGAGAATATGAAAGGGGGCTGAGACCCGTATTTTATGATTTTTATATAAGGATTATTTATTTGAAGAAATATGTTCGGGGGGTATTTATTCGAAAGAATTATATGTGAAAGATTTATATTTGAAGGACTTGTTTAATTGATTGTACTTGTGTTTCTTATTCGTCTTAGTAATAATTATGTTGTTCTTGTTGCCTTGCTGTTTATATCACTACTTTGTTATTGTTGCTATCATTGCTATTTGTTCCCTATTAGTTTTGTATGCTATATTGCACATGTTATTTGACTAGTGAGCGTCTTGATTGTACCTCGTCACTACTCTACCGAGGTTAGTCTTGATACTTACTGAGTACCGACTGTGGTATACTCATACTACACTTTTGTATATTTTTGTGCAGAGCCAGGTAAATTGGAGTCAGTTGATCGCTAGCTAGATGTACAGATCTTGCTGTGGAGACTCAAGGTAAACCTATTATTGCGTTCGCAGGCTTCAGAGTCACCTTCTGATATTGTTCTCACACTGTTTTATCTCTACTTCAAAACAGTTGTATTTATAGGCTTTCTAGTAACTTAGTAGAGCTTATGACTTATACTACCGGTTTTGGAATTATAAGTGTTGTATAGAGATTTCTATTTCGCATTTGTCAGTCGTTAATTAATATTGTTATTATTTCAGTAAATATTAGGCTTACCTAGTCCCTAAGACTAGGTTCCATCACGACATCCTACAGAGGGAGATTTGGATCGTGACAAGTTAGTATCAGAGCTCTAGGTTCATAGGTGCTACGAGTCATACGTGAGTTTAGTAGAGTCTTGCGGATCGGTACGGAGACGTCTGTACATATCTTCGAGAGGCTACAGAACTGTTAGAAAATTTTCACTACTTTCATTCCTGTCGTGCGGAATTTGTTGATCTTGGAATTTGAGCCTTTGTATCTCTATTCTCTAACAGATTGTGAGGACACGTGCTACTGGGTCAGCTGAGCAGACACCCGCGCGTTCTGCTAGGGCTGCAAGAGGCCAGGCCGAGGAAGGGCACATGTCGCAGCTAGAGCACCTGTCAGAGCAGCAGTTGAAGAGCCACAAGTAGCTCCAGCAGGGGGACAGGCACCAGAGACACCTGTTGTTACCCCCAAACTTCAGGAGACTTTAGCACGGTTCTTTAACATATTTGGTACATTAGCTCAGGCGGGGTTGATTCCGGTCGCACAAGCTACTTCACAGACCGGGAGAGGAACACAGACTCCAGCCGTCGGTACTCTATAATAGCGAGTCCACATTAGTCAGGTTCCAGGAGTCATGGCGACTCAGCCTGTGGTCCCAATTCAGCCCATGGTTAGGGCCGCAGCATCTGAGGAAGAACAACTTAGACTTGCAAGGTTCAAGAAGTATGACCCTCCTACCTTCGGTGATTTGGCTTCAGAGGGGGCACAAGGTTTTCTAGAGGAGTGCCACCGCATTCTCCACACTATGGGTATTGTGGAAACGAGTGGGGCTAACTCCACAGGCTGTTGCGACTACTTCAAGTTAACTCTAACTTGAAAGATACAACTCGATTTTACAACCTCTCGCAAACCTAAGGATTAACTATAACCCTTGTAGCAATACGCTACATGCTGTTGCGACTATTTTATGTTAACTCTAACTTGAATAATACAACTCATGTACCTAGTACAATTTGCTTCTAAGAAAGCTTAAAGGTACAACTCAAAACGCCTACTAAACTTTGACCTAGAAATAAAGAAAGACACATAAAACTCTTTATGGAACTGGTATTTTAATCTGGTTCGTGTAGCTTTGGGATCACACTCTTGAATCTCACAGGAATTGCTCACAAAATGCCTTTCTATTTTGCTGTCAAATCGTGCTTTCACTTCTGTATGTGTGTGTCACCTGTAAAAAAGAACAACATTGATATTTATAGAGTTAGTAAATAAAAATTAACTAGAGTTCTAATGCTTTACTCTACCATGGTGGAAGAGTTCTAGTTATCTTCAACTTCTAACTCCTCCTTTATCTAGGATAGAGTTCTCTTCAAGTAAGGAGTCCTGCTCCTTATCAACTATACAACCTTTTCGTTCAGGCAATATCATATATAACCACTTATTCTTATCCCTTTCACGTGCATGCCTTGTGTTTGAATCTGCCTGTGCCCTATGTACACTATCTATGGACCTGATTCATGCATGTGTTCCTTTGTCAATCATCAAGACCAAAATCACTCAGGTCAACAAATTCCCTCTTTTTGATGATGGCAGCCTTTGTGCTTTTCAGAAGCATGGAACCTGTTTCAACTTAGCTTAACATCAAACACAATGTCAAAATACTCTCTATTTAAAGTCACAAATCATCAAGGACCGAGTTCATTAGGTTATAAACATCACAGTCCAAAGCAAAATCACACATTATCTTCCCCCTTTTGGCATCATCAAAAATTTGCATAATTAAGTCAAGTAACCAGATTTTAACAGATATCACTCATGGCCACTGGGGCTACTTCAAATGCAATCATGGATTTAATTTTCTCTTTTTCAATCTAAGGATATTAGCCATCTAAGAAATATCAACAAACAATTAGAACAAATAAGTGAATATTATTGATAAGATTCTTTCACAAGGCATAAAAAGAAATAAAAGTACTGAACCATGAGCAAAAAGAGCAAAACAATCATCCCACTTGGGTCACTGTTACAAACTAGGCTTAGGAAGGATTTAGGACCATGGAGGACCAGGTTCTTGGTTCTTGGCTTGAAGCAGCTTCAGCGTATCTTGAAGAATACCATCATTCTTCTCCTTTTATTTAGTAAGCTCACACTTAAGAGAGTCTCTCAGTCTCTAGTTCAGCCAATCGTTTCTTCAGCCTTTCAATCTCAGCACTTTTAGCCATTTTCTTCCACTATTTGAGCCTCCTTGCTCCTTTGGGCAGACCTAGTTCTTTTAGACACAATTGAGCCCCCTGCCTCAGCCGCTATTTCTGGAGAGCTCTTTTAAGAAGTCTTTCTCGTTTTGGCACTAGGCGTGGACACTTCTACATCCTCATATTCATCTTCAAGAATCAGGTTCATCTCCTCAATTTGGACTACTCCACTTGGCTTACCAGTCTTTTTTCTTTTTTTTCCAAGCGACTTTCTTGGCACTCTCAGCTAAGGACCTTTTTACATTTGCCTCACACTGCTTCTTCTATCTCCTTGTAGTTCTTCCTCTTGTGGGAGAAGTTGCTACAGGGATAGAAAGAGCAACGTTTCTCTTAGTGACACCCATGCCCTTTCCTGGAATATTTCCAACTTTGCTCTTCTTCTTTGGATTGTAACTATCTCACACCTTTTGTTGCAGATCATGAAGAGGCTCTTGTCTTTTTTGTTTTACAAAAAAAGGAACTGGTTCATGAAAACGTTTCCTCAACCTAACCAGTCTATCTGATGCACTTCTATCAACAGAACTATACCCTATCTCCTGTGATTCTATCCCCATACTTTCATCCATAGCCTCCTCATTATCACTATTCTTTTCGCTCCAGACAACCGTTGCCCCTGTTTCTTCATCTAACCCGATACGAGTGGGTGAAGTAGATCCAGCCACTCGTGCTTCTTCCCTTCCCCTCACATCTGCCTCAACCACTCACTCTTTTTTTTCTTTTTTTTTTATGTTTTTTCTTTTTACCACCAATATCAGCATCTTTTCCAATATTTCCTATTTCTACACCAGCAACAGAACCAACCAACAGAAAGCGATTTTCAAGATTTTCTTGGATTTCAAACCAATAATAGAAGATTTGAACCCATAAATTACCTATTTAGTTTCAGATGTAACTGGATCTTCCCCTTCAGTCGCAGACCGAAAAGAATCATCAGATTTTTGGGGTTCTTCTGCTTGACTAGCTTTCAATTTCTCATTCAACTTCTTGGCTTATTCTTTTCTTGCTACTGTTTTGCGCGCCATCATTTTCACATGTTATTTTGCTTAGGGTTTTGGGTGGTTGAAGGTGTGGGTGAAGGATCTTTAGGTGGTGAGGAAGGGTTTTCAGAGTTTTTGGGATTCTCATGGGTGTTTGCCATTTGATCAATTTAGGAACTTGAGAGAAATGGAGAGACTTTTGAGGTTTTGGAGATTTTGATCTTTTGAAAAAGTTTGAGATAAGAGGGTAAGGTTAGATCAATTTAAAGAGGGAAAAGGTTGAATGTGTAACAACATCTTTTTGGAGGCCGTTAGAAGTCGGGAGTTTCAGTTTGAAGAGATGTCAGA